CTACCACAAGTCCTACAAGTTGCCTGGTCCCACAAGTCCTACAAGTTGCCTGGCTACCACAAGTCCTACAAGTTGCCTGGCTACCACAAGTCCTACAAGTCACCTGGCTACCACAAGTCCTACAAGTTGCCTGGCTACCACAAGTCCTACAAGTTGCCTGGCTACCACAAGTCCTACAAGTCACCTGGCTACCACAAGTCCTACAAGTTGCCTGGCTACCACAAGTCCTACAAGTCGCCTGGCTACACAAGTCCTACAAGTTGCCTGGCTACCACAAGTCCTAAAAGTTGCCTGGCTACCACAAGTCCTACAAGTTGCCTGGCTACCACAAGTCCTACAAGTTGCCTGGCTACCACAAGTCCTACAAGTCACCTGGCTACCACAAGTCCTACAAGTTGCCTGGCTACCACAAGTCCTACAAGTTGCCTGGCTACCACAAGTCCTACAAGTCACCTGGCTACCACAAGTCCTACAAGTCACCTGGCTACCACAAGTCCTACAAGTTGCCTGGCTACCACAAGTCCTACAAGTTGCCTGGCTACCACAAGTCCTACAAGTTGCCTGGCTACCACAAGTCCTACAAGTTGCCTGGCTACCACAAGTCCTACAAGTTGCCTGGTTACCACAAGTCCTACAAGTTGCCTGGCTACCACAAGTCCTACAAGTTGCCTGGCTACCAAAAGCCCTACAAGTTGCCTGGCTACCACAAGTCCTACAAGTTGCCTGGCTACCACAAGTCCTACAAGTTGCCTGGCTACCACAAGTCCTACAAGTTGCCTGGCTACCACAAGTCCTACAAGTTGCCTGGCTACCACAAGTCCTACAAGTTGCCTGGCTACCACAAGTCCTACAAATTGCCTGGCTACCACAACTCATATTTATGTTAATTTATTCTACTGTGGGGTGTATTTATATGGATTAAGCAAAATGTCTACATTAACATTTTATACGATATTTAATGCTCCTTAGAGTGACTATTATCGTGTTATCATTATTATTATCATTAATATGGCATCTTCAAGACTAATAAGACACTCTTAGTGATTTAATGTGTACCTGCATGCCAGCACAGTGTGTACCTGCATGCCAGCACAGTGTGTACCTGCATGCCAGCACAGTGTGTACCTGCATGCCAGCACAGTGTGTACCTGCATGCCAGCAGTGTGTACCTGCATGCCAGCAGTGTGTACCTGCATGCCAGCACAGTGTGTACCTGCATGCCAGCACAGTGTGTACCTGCATGCCAGCACAGTGTGTACCTGCATGCCAGCACAGTGTGTACCTGCATGCCAGCACAGTGTGTACCTGCATGCCAGCACAGTGTGTACCTGCATGCCAGCACAGTGTGTACCTGCATGCCAGCACAGTGTGTACCTGCATGCCAGCACAGTGTGTACCTGCTTGCCAGCACAGTGTGTACCTGCATGCCAGCACAGTGTGTACCTGCATGCCAGCACAGTGTGTACCTGCATGCCAGCACAGTGTGTACTTGCATGCCAGCACAATGTGTACCTGCATGCCAGCAGTGTGTACCTGCATGCCAGCACAGTGTGTACCTGCATGCCAGCACAGTGTGTACCTGCATGCCAGCACAGTGTGTACCTGCATGCCAGCACAGTGTGTACCTGCATGCCAGCAGTGTGTACCTGCATGCCAGCACAGTGTGTACCTGCATGCCAGCACAGTGTGTACCTGCATGCCAGCACAGTGTGTACCTGCATGCCAGCACAGTGTGTACCTGCATGCCAGCACAGTGTGTACCTGCATGCCAGCACAGTACAGGTACACATACATATAATTAACAGTTATAATAATAATAATATAGGTAGTAGGTTGGTAGACAGCAACCGCCCAGGGAGGTACTACCGTCCTGCCAAGTGAGTGTAAAACGAAAGCCTGTAATTGTTTTACATGATGGTAGGATTGCTGGTGTCCTTTTTTCTGTCTCATGAACATGCAAGATTTCAGGTACGTCTTGCTACTTCTACTTACACTTAGGTCACACTACACATACATGTACAAGCACATATATACACACCCCTCTGGGTTTTCTTCTATTTTCTTTCTAGTTCTTATTCTTGTTTATTTCCTCTTATCTCCATGGGGAAGTGGAACAGAATTCTTCCTCCGTAAGCCATGCGTGTTGTAAGAGGCAACTAAAATGCCGGGAGCAAGGGGCTAGTAACCTCTTCTCCTGTATATATTACTAAATGTAAAAGGAGAAACTTTCGTTTTTCCTTTTGGGCCACCCCGCCTCGGTGGGATACGGCCGGTGTGTTGAAAGAAAGAGAGGAATAATAATAATGTAGGTATGTAGTCCGCCTGGGCTACATACCTACACAATATTTAATGCGGCCCAGAGCCATATTATTACCATCGACATACCATGTTCACTGAGTTTAATCGTTTCTAACAACTACCTTTAGATGCCATCATAAACAAAGGGAGAAGTAATGAAGAATTCATGCCGAGAATTGTAAACAAAAGCGTTATGTATTAAGTGGAGTGATGTAATGTTTTCTCCATGGGGAAGTGGAATAGAATTCTTCCTCCGTAAGCCATGCGTGTTGTAAGAGGCGACTAAAATGCCGGGAGCAAGGGGCTAGTAACCTCTTCTCCTGTATATATTACTAAATGTAAAAGGAGAAACTTTCGTTTTTCCTTTTGGGCCACCCTGCCTTGGTGGGATACGGCCGATGTGTTGAAAGAAAGAAAGATGTAATGTTTTCCCTCCGCCCGGCTACCACACCTCCACAGTATATAAACAAAATGTTTATATGTTATGTAACATGATTCTTATATAATTTTGAAGAAAATATAATAGGTGGATTAATGAAAATGTCTATATTGCCGTAAAATTAGATATTTCATGTGCCAAGAGTGATTATTATTACATAATAAAGAGATGTGCTCATGGAGAATGTAAACAAACCGGGTGGCCTGCACCGTATTTGAAAGGCCACTTGCTGTATAGAAAGTTTTGGTCATAATTTGAGATCGCCGTATTAGCGGAACACCATAAGCCGAAACGCCAAAAAGCGAGGCCCTACTGTATTGGAGTGACATTTAAACTGTCATATCTGGGCGCCTCTGTATAGACAGTGATTATGTGTGAATAATGGTGAAAGTGTTTCTTTCTTTTTAGGGTCACCATGACTCGGTGGGAGTCAGCTGAGGTGTTAAAAAAAAAAAGTTACACAGAATGTACTAATACTCTAATCATTTCTCTTGTGCTCCTTGAACTCCTAAATTTGTTATGACAACTTAGAGAACAAATGTACAGTGGACCCCTGCCTTACGTTAAATTCGCCATACGAAGCATTTGAACGCAAAAATTTTGCCTCGCCTCACGATAAAAAACTTGCCTTACGTGATTTGTCTGGGACACGTCCCACGTGTGGCCTCAGCGCCAGTGTTTACAAGCTAGCCAGTGCGGTCGCATTTACGCATACATTCGGTACATTTCACATTATCCCAGTGTTTTTAGTGCTTGTAACTCCAAAACATGTCACCATGGACCCCAAGAAAGCTTCTAGTGCCAACCCTGTGGTAAAAAGGGTGAGAATTAGTATGGAATTGAAAAAAGAGATTAAGGAAATGTGTGCAAAGTGGGTTGAACTGCAAACCTTTACGGATGAAAATCACCCTGACACAGCTACTGCAAGCCGTGTTGGCAACCTGTACAATGACAATGTTATGGCCCATTTTAGGAAAGTCTTAAAGGAACGGGAGGTACAGAGCTCTATGGACAGATTTGTTGTGTGACAGAGGTCCAGTGACTCTCAAGCTGGTCCTAGTGGCATTAAAAGAAGAAGGGAAGTAACCCCGGAAAAGGACTTGCTACCTCAAGTCCTAATGGAAGAGGATTCCCCTTCTAAACAACAACTTCCACACTCTTCCCTCCTCCCATCCCATCAATCATCACCAGATCTTCAATAAAGGTAAGTGTCATGTATTCTATTCTTAGTAGAGTAGTAATTGTGCATGTCTTTTTCAGTTTGTGTGTATTAAAATTAATATTTTATGTGGTAAAATTTTTTTTTTCATACTTTGGGGTGTCTTGCACAGATTAATTTGATTTCCATTATTTCTTATGGGGAAAATTAATTCGCCTTACGATAATTTTGGCTAACGATGAGGTTAAGTTTGCCCAAGATGCTCTGCATATTAAAGGCTTTCTGCATGCACATCTAAATCTCACCATCTCTGTACAAACACTGTATCATGCTGAAATAAATAAAATGTAATTGAAATACAGTGGAACCTCGAGTTTCGTATAGCTCCCAACTCGAACAATTATGTAAGTGTATTTTTGTAAGTGCTTTTGTAAGTGTATTTTTGGGGCCTGAAATGGACTAATCTGATTTACATTATTCCTCATGGCAACAAATTTGTTAAGTAACGGCACTTGAACAGCCTTCTGGAACGAAATATTGTATGTACCAAACTCGGGCTACCACTGTATAAAATTTGCAACATACACCTACCATCCGACTTATGACCTGCTCGACTTACAACCACTCGACTTATGACCGTGTTTTTTATGCCAAATTTCTGAGAAATAAACAACTATTTGTGTTGTACACAGTGTTTATCCTAAACCTTACAGTATAAATACAGTACTAACAGCATAAAAAGTAAAGTAAAACATAAAATACCAAAATAAAACAATAAAATAAAGTCATTACAAAAATGTTTTGTTGATATTCAGTAGTAAAGTTAGACTTACGACCATTTCGACTTACGACCGGTTTCTCGGAACCGAACTCGGTCGTAAGCCAGATGGTAGGTGTACTTTAAATAATCCTCACATGAATAATTTGAAGAATAAAAAGGCACAATATCGTGACTGGAACAATACGCAAATAACCCGCACATAGAAGACACTTATGACAATGTTTTATCTGACCAAAACGTCTTCACAAGTTTCTGTATCCTATGTGCGAGTTATTTCTGCAAGAATAATTTAATTTTATTGCGAAATCTCATTCTGAGCTTGCCTCATTTTTCTGGCCGATACGATGGGCACGATCTTGGGCTTGAAGATCCTGGTGAGGGTTCCAATCCGAGTCAAAAATAATGACAGTATCGGCAGACTGAAGGTTGAGACCTAGACCACCTGCGCGGGTCGACAACAGGAACAAGAAGTAGTCTCTTGATGTGTTGAACAGGCGTAATAACTCACCACGGTCGTCCGATTTAGTCGTTCCTGCAAACAAAAATATCTTTAGGGAGTGGAAAAATCCTCAGAACTTATCGAAGGTAAAGGTACTTGCACAACACTAAAATTAAATGTACATGCATATAAAATTTCCTAGATGGTAGGTTGGTAGTCACCAACCACCCAAGGAGGTACTACCGTCCTGCCAAGTGAGTGTAAAACAGAAGCCTGTAAATGTTTTACATGATGGTAGGATTGCTGGTGTCTCTTTTTCTGTCTCATAAACACGCAAGATTTCAGGTACATCTTGCTACTTCTACTTACACTTATGTCACACTATACATACACGTACAAGCATATATATACACACACCCCTCTGAGTTTTCTTCTATTTTCTTACTAGTTCTTGTTGTTGTTTATCTCCACTTATCTCCATGGGGAAGTGGAACAGAATTCTTCCTCCGTAAGCCATGCATGTCATAAGAGGCGACCAAAATGCCGAGAGCAAGAGGCTAGTAACCCCTTCTCCTGTATACATTACTAAATTTAAAGAGAACCTTTTGCTTTTCTTTTTGGGCCACTCTGCCTCGGTGGGATATGGCCAGTTTGTTGAAAGAAGAAGAAATTTAAGCATTCAACTCACACACTGAGGTCTGTGGTTTGGTCACCGGTACGGGTGGAAACACTAGCCGTGTTTCCTTAAGACACATGCTGTCCCTATTCAGATAGCAGTAAGTAGGTACCCGGGTGCTAGTCAACTGGTGTAGGTCACATGCTGGAGACAAAATTAACCTAATTTGTAGGAAATGCTCTGCATACCCAAGCACTCTCTATATAGTTTATCACTGATGTCAGCTATGGTCTGTATAAGTTGTATCTTGTACTAGTACAAATAAAGAGTATAATTATTATTAACTTTATGACTACAGTTTGTATAATTAACCCTTTGACTGTCGCGGCCGTACATATACGTCTTATGAGGTACCGTGTTTGACGTACATATACTCATAAATTCTAGCGGCTTCAAATCAAGCAGGAGAAAGCTGGTAGGCCCACATGTGAGAGAATGGGTCTGTGTGGTCAGTGTGCACCATATAAAAAAAATCCTGGAGCACGCAGTGCATAATGAGAAAAAAAAAACTCCGACCGTTTTTTTTAATTAAAATGCCAACTTTGTGGTCTATTTTCGTATAGTATTTATGGTTGTATTCTCGTTTTCTTGGTCTCATTTGATAGAATGGAAAACATATTATAGAAATAGAGGTGATTTTGATTGATTTTACTTTAAAAAGAACCTAGAAATGGAGCTCAAAATAGGGGAAATGTTTGATTTTTGCCAATGTTCAAAAGTAAACAAATGATGCCATTGTCCAATAAATGTCCAACTAGCCATTCTAATATGCAGTCATGAATGGGTTGATGTTATTTATACAATTATTACAGTATTGCAGTAGTCTGCATAATAGTAAGTCTTCTATTTTTTGTTTGAATAAAAATTCAAAATAGAAAGCAAGAGTAATATCAGAGGGGCCGGGAGACATGACTGATGAGCAAAGAAAATGTTATTTTAGAGCCAGGAATGTCTGCATTGTTCATTCTGGACCTTATTTTGAAATTGTCATATTTTGTAATTTTCGTGAAATTGGCCAAATTGCAAATTTCTGACCACATTATTAGGTAGTTGAAATCGGTAAATGGGCAGTTTCTTATACTCAATCGATAGAAAAAATAGAGCTCTAAAGAAATAGCTATGAGTTTGGGCGACTGGAACAATGGAATTAGCCGAAAATAGGGCTCAAAGTGGGCGAAATCGCCGATTTGTAAACAGCGCCGAGGTCGCTAACTTCGCGAGAGCATAATTCCGTCAGTTTTCCATCAAATTTCGTTTTTTTGGTGTCATTACAATCGGGAAAAGATTCTCTATCATTTCATAAGAAATTTTTTTTTTTTTTTAAATTTTGCGACACCAGGAGACACCTCAGGATTGGGGGTTGCAACAGTCAAAGGGTTAAATTACTTGTTGCTATTATACAGTTATGATGCAAATGGTTTACAAAACTGACAAGTTGAAAATTTGATACTTTTGCAACATTTGGAAACTTTACTGTGGAAATGTTTTGGCAGCCAGTGGCTTCTTCAGTCCAGCACAGAGATGAATGGTGGAATATGAGAAGGAGTATGAGGTAATCAGTTCCTCAACCTGGATTCGACGTGTTCAGTCCATCAATCTTGAATAGATAAAAAAAACTTTTCCATTCTTATTTTTTATAACAACAATTATGTATTTGTCTCTTAGACACATGGTATGGATTAAATTCAAATTCAAGACTAGTGTGTTCATCACCAACTTCAAAGTTGAGGGACTGATTACCTCATCTTTTGTATATAATTCTACAGTCTTCACATTATGTCCTTGAATTTGTATTGACAAAGCCACTGGATGGTAAAACATCTACAAATAGAGATGCCAAAATGTTGCACATATGTGTAATTCTTCATTTGTTGAAGACTTTTGCAAAGTGAAGGTGCACAACATCTGAGCTCTGCTTGTCTTCCGGTGCATCCAAGATTATGTTGCAATGATCTAGCAATTAACAAAATGCAGGAGTGATGCTCTACCCCCATGTTGCCCCAGGTTGTGCACTTGTAGCTTTATGTAACTGGTAATCTTTGCTTCTTAAGACCCTCTCACAGAAAAAAAACATGGAATGGATGGGGTTTGAACTCATGGCAGGTAAGTTGTAAAACTCCAGGCCAGTGCATAAGCCACTCCTTAGTCATGAAGATCCTTTCACAGATGTTAATGTGAGACAATTGCAGAATTAGTCTGTAGTTTTTTTCAGTTGTTTTACTGCTACCTTTGTTGAGTCAGGCTGGAGGGAGGAGATAAAGGCAGTTTAGAGTGATAGGGGCTTGAACATCCAGCAGACTTGTGCAATCATTGGAGACAAATGGGGTTTATGACGTGATGTGCTGTAGGAGTGTGAGCAAGATAACCTTTATAAAAGGATTCAGGAAAAATGGTTAACCAAACTATAGTCCTGAAGGTGATAAGTACAGTGTTTGTGCTCTGAAGAATGAATGGGAATGTTACAGTCCTGGAGGACTGCTACAGTCTAGGACTCAGTAGTATCAGTTACCAGTAGTATCAGTTTCCAGTAGTGTCAGTAGTACTGACTCATCCAGCCATTACTGATTCAATGCCTCCTGCATGAATCACTGACTGTTATTCACTCACCATTACTGCTGACCTAGTATGATTTGAATGCCACTCGCCCTCCGAGGCACTCAGCAAGGCAGTTCAAGTCGAGTCGTAAGAGAGGAGACAGGTCAGGCCTGGCATTCCCATATATTCTAATGTACCTACTTTAACATCCGACATGAGTGTTTATTACCCAATTTATGTTTCGAACCCCAAGTTACATGGGCTCTTAAGGATGGGTGGGAATGTTACACTCCTGGAGAAATGTTACAGTCTGGGCTCTGAAGGATATTAGAGGGCTATCTGAACTGTAATGTCTGCACACTTCTTGCAAAACATCTACTTAATGAAAGACGGTGAATATGATTCCATTTTTGGGTAAACTTGTATACCCTGGCGGGAGACAGTCGGTGTTAAAAGAAAACAAAAAAATTAGGTGTCCCAAATATCTAACCAAGATAAGATTCACAACAGATTTATACTCGATACATTTAAATTTGGAAAGAATACAGGAAATAAGTGTCAACTGATATAGGTAGTAGGTTGGTAGACAGCAACCGCCCAGTGAGGTACTACTGTCCTGCCAAGTGAGTGTAAAACGAAAGCCTGTAATTGTTTTACATGATGGTAGGATTGCTGGTGTCCATTTTTTGTCTCATAAACATGCAAGGTTTCAGGTATGTCTTGCTACTTCTACTTACACTTAGGTCACACTACACATATATGTACAAGCATATATATATATATATATATATATATATACACACCCCTCTGAGTTTTCTTCTATTTTCTTACTAGTTCTTATTCTTGTTTATTTCCTCTTATCTCCATGGGGAAGTGGAACAGAATTCTTCCTCCGTAAGCCATGCGTGTTGTAAGAGGCGACTAAAATGCCGGGAGCAAGGGGCTAGTAACCTCTTCTCCTGTATATATTACTAAATGTAAAAGGAGAAACTTTCGTTTTTCCTTTTGGGCCACCCCGCCTCGGTGGGATACGGCTGGTGTGTTGAAAGAAAGAAAGAATATATATATACACACCCCTCTGAGTTTTCTTCTATTTTCTTACTAGTTCTTATTCTTGTTTATTTCCTCTTATCTCCATGGGGAAGTGGAACAGAATTCTTCCTCAGTAAGCTATGCATGTTGTAAGAGGCGACTAAAATGCCGGGAGCAAGGAGCTAGTAACCCCTTCTCCTGTATAAATTACTAAATTTAAAAAGAGAAACTTTTGTTTTTCTTTTTGGGCCACCCTGCCTTGGTGGGATACTGCCGGTGTGTTGAAAAAAAAAAAAAGTGTCAACTGAGTGGTCGAAAAAGTGGAACAAAGTGTCAAACAAATCATTAGAGTACTTTGGAAAGCTATAAAATATTTTGGGTAGATACACTTGTTGCAGTGCCTGAGTGAGGGTAAGACACTGTTACAGTGCTTGAGTGAGGGTAAGACACTGTTGCAGTGCCTGAGTGAGGGTAAGACACTGTTGCAGTGCCTGAGTGAGGGTAAGACACTGTTGCAGTGCCTGAGTGAGGGTAAGACACTTGTTGCAGTGCTTGAGTGAGGATAAGACACTGTTGCAGTGCCTGAGGGCAAGACACTGTTGCAGTGCCTGAGTGAGGGTAAGACACTGTTATAATGCCTGAGTGAGGGTAAGACACTGTTATAGTGCCTGAGTGAGGGTAAGACACTGTTGCAGTGCCTGAGTGAGGGTAAGACACTGTTGCAGTGCCTGAGTGAGGGTAAGACACTTGTTGCAGTGCTTGAGTGAGGGTAAGACACTTGTTGCAGTGCTTGAGTGAGGATAAGACACTGTTGCAGTGCCTGAGTGAGGGTAAGACACTTGTTGCAGTGCTTGAGTGAGGGTAAGACACTTGTTGCAGTGCTTGAGGGTAAGACACTTGTTGCAGTGCTTGAGTGAGGGTAAGACACTTGTTGCAGTGCCTGAGTGAGGGTAAGACACTGTTGCAGTGCCTGAGTGAGGGTAAGACACTTGTTGCAGTGCTTGAGTGAGGATAAGACACTGTTATAGTGCCTGAGTGAGGGTAAGACACTGTTATAGTGCCTGAGTGAAGGTAAGACACTTACAGTGCCTGAGTGAGGGTAAGACACTGTTACAGTGTGTGAGTGAGGGTAAGACACTGTTACAGTGCCTGAGTGAGGGTAAAACACTGTTACAGTGCCTGAGTGAGGGTAAGACACTGTTACAGTGCCTGAGTGAGGGTAAGACACTGTTACAGTGCATGAGTGAGGGTAAGACACTGTTACAGCACCTGAGTGAGGGTAAGACACTGTTACAGTGCCTGAGTGAGGGTAAGACACTGTTACAGTGCCTGAGTGAGGGTTAGACACTGTTATAGTGTGTGAGTAAAATCTGCCTAGAAATATTCTTCTATTCTTATGTTTTTATGTATAAGATCACAGTAGACAGGTAATATACAATAAGATCACAGTAGACAGGTAATATCACAATATACAATAAGATCACAGTAGACAGGTAATATACAATAAGATCACAGTAGACAGGTAATATACAATAAGATCACAGTAGACAGGTAATATCACAATATACAATAAGATCACAGTAGACAGGTAATATCACAATATACAATAAGATCACAGTAGACAGGTAATATCACAATATACAATAAGATCACAGTAGACAGGTAATATCACAATATACAAAATATCCACTGTGAGAAAAGTGAATTTCCAAACCTATTCATTATTTATCATATTATCAGTTCCTTAACCCTTAAACTGTCCAAACGTTTATCCACGTTTATGCACGTAGCGCTCCGACCTTGATTTTCTCCATTTGAAAGCATATAAAAAAAAGAGTAGATCTACGTTCGGAGCGCTACGCAAGTGAACGTAGATCTACGTTTGAACAGTTGAAGGGTTAATAATGTGAGAAATAATTTAGAAATTCACTAATTTTTCACAGAGGTTTTGCATATTAATGTATCACCCACATATACAACACCACTTTTTGGTGTTCCTCATATTTTTTGGTTTTAAAATGAGCCACTGTTCATTATATTCCACCTGCTGGCAAAAATCACCAATGACTCAATTGCAAGCCAACAAAAAATGCCAAAACGAGGCACCGTCTATGAGTTAACCTCCTGTATTTTAAGTACAAAATTATATTGAATGTCACAAACCATCAAGTCTCAAGTATTTGAAGCCTTTGTACATGAGATAGTCTTCCATAATAGTCATAAGCTGCGTCATCTGGCAGAAGAGCAGCACCCGGTGGTCACTGGTCTTCAGTTTGGGCAAGATGCGATCTAGAAGCTCAAACTTACCAGACGCTCGATATAGATCCGGACTGAGGAAGAGTAATATATATCAATTAAGTGATTACAGTTGCTCATCGGCTTACGATGGGGGTTATGTTCCAATGAACCATTGCAAGTCAAAAATATCACAAGCTGAATATGAATACGATATGCTAAATTAATAAGTAAATACAGTACGGGTACCATCCGACTTACGACCAAGCTTGGTTCCGACCAACCGGTCTTAAGTCGAAATGGACGTAAGTCGAGCCTTACTACTGAATATCAACATCACACTTTTGTAATGATTTTATTTCATTGTTTTATTTTCGTGTTTTAGTTTTTACCTTACTTTTTATGCTGGTAGTACTGTATTTTATACTACTAGGTTTAGGATAAACACTGTGTACAGCACAAACAGTTGTTTATTTCCCAGAAATCTGACAAAAAAAACATGGTTGTAAGTCAAGTGGTCGTATGTCAAGCAGGTCGTAAGTTGGATGGTAGGTGTACTTAAATAATTACTATGTTACTAAATAAATTAAAATATAATTACTATAATTAAATATCAATATTGAAAAGTCAATAAATGAATACAAGTTAGGGACGTGCTGCCTTCATGCTGGGTAATTATCTTCAGTTTCATCTCCAAAGTAATTGATGCTGCACCATCATCAAGTTGAAATATCCTAAGCTGAACCATCATAAGTCAAGGAACACCTGTATTAACCTACGATCACAAGGAACACCTGTATTAACCTACGATCACAAGGAACACCTGTATTAACCTACGATCACAAGGAACACAAAACGACACTTGTATATACGGTACTTTCCTTGAACAACTTTTACTACTAGTAATTATTGCATAATAAGCAATGTTATACAATATTATATTTTAAAAAAACTTACCTACCTGAAGTGACCTTGAAAGAAAAGTCTCTATATACAGTTTAAAATCTTACTAAATTATACTACACAGCAAATGTAAGAGATGAAGAAATTATATCTGATTCTTCCTTTTAAGACAGTCATAAAAAAAATAATCAGTAGAACATTAAGAACACTTTAAATAAGAACATTGTGTTGATGATGACACTTTAAACAAGACTTGTACTGCATTAAAACTCCTACACAAAAAGTACCATTTAAGGTTAAATGTTTTTCACCTTCTCTAAGGCAGAGGAAAACATTAATTATCAGCACTAAAACACTTTAATTTTAACACTACTGGCAGCACCTTCAACATCTCAAACTGTACTACTCACTAGAGTACATTCTGAGAACTCTGCCTCTCAAACTGTACTACTCACTAGAGTACATTCTGAGAACTCTGCCTCTCAAACTGTACCACTCACTAGAGTACATTCTGAGAACTCTGCCTCTCAAACTGTACCACTCACTAGAGTACATTCTGAGAACTCTGCCTCTCAAACTGTACCACTCACTAGAGTATAATTTGAGGGCTTTGACCTTCTATACCACTTTCTGAAGATTTTAATAAGTTTAACAGATTTACTCTGCCACTCAAAGACCCCATTTTAAATAAATCACTTTGGTTTTATTATGGGTTATCCTGGAGGGTAATTTACACTAGGAATGATAATTGGACTTACGTGTAGCTGTGCAGCAGCGAGGTGCTAGTAACACCTCCTGTATAATTTACTAAATGTAGAAAAGAAGATAAAACTTTATGAAAGCTTTTCTTCTTTATGTAGTCACCTGTCTCGGTGGGAGACGGCCGATGTGTTATAAAGAAAAACATCTAATCAAACTCCTGTAAGTGAAATACAGCTTACTACAATGTATGTCATTGTATACTTTCTAAATAATCATTTCTGGTGGAGTAAGTCATCTTACCTCTGAACAACAACATCTACTTTACTAGTGGAGTAAGTCATCTTACCTCTGAACAACAACACCTACTTTACTAGTGGAGTAAGTCATCTTACCTCTGAACAACAACACCTACTTTACTAGTGGAGTAAGTCATCTTACCTCTGAACAACAACACCTACTTTACTAGTGGAGTAAGTCATCTTACCTCTGAACAACAACACCTACTTTACTAGTGAAGAAAGTCAAGTAAGTCAACTTACCCCTGAAAAAACAACACCTACTTTACTAGTGAAGAAAGTCAAGTAAGTCAACTTACCCCTGAAAAAACAACACCTACTTTACTAGTGGAGTAAGTCAAGTAAGTCATCTTACCTCTGAACAACAACACCTACTTTACTAGTGAAGAAAGTCAAGTAAGTCAACTTACCCCTGAAAAAACAACACCTACTTTACTAGTGGAGTAAGTCAAGTAAGTCAACTTACCTCTGAACAACAACACCTACTTTACTAGTGGAGTAAGTCAAGTAAGTCAACTTACCTCTGAACAACAACACCTACTTTACTAGTGAAGAAAGTCAAGTAAGTCAACTTACCCCTGAACAACACCTCCTACATTACTAATGGAGTAAGTCAAGTAAGTCAACTTACCCCTGGACAACACCTCCTACATTACTAATGGAGTAAGTCAAGTGAGTCAACTTACCCCTGGACAACACCTCCTACATTACTAATGGAGTAAGTCAAGTGAGTCAACTTACCCCTGAACAACACCTCCTACATTACTAATGGAGTAAGTCAACTAAGTCAACTTACCCCTGAACAACACCTCCTACATTACTAATGGAGTAAGTCAAGTAAGTCAACTTACCCCTGGACAACACCTCCTACATTACTAATGGAGTAAGTCAAGTAAGTCAACTTACCCCTGAACAACAACACCTACATTACTAATGGAGTAAGTCAAGTAAGTCAACTTACCCCTGAACAACACCTCCTACATTACTAATGGAGTAAGTCAAGTGAGTCAACTTACCCCTGAACAACACCTCCTACATTACTAATGGAGTAAGTCAAGTAAGTCAACTTACCTCTGAACAACAACACCTACATTACTAATGGAGTAAGTCAAGTAAGTCAACTTACCCCTGGACAACACCTCCTACATTACTAATGGAGTAAGTCAAGTAAGTCAACTTACCCCTGGACAACATCTCCTACATTACTAATGGAGTAAGTCAAGTAAGTCAACTTACCCCTGAACAACACCTCCTACAAAGCCAGTATGATTGCAGTAAGCTTCTTCAATGTGCTGGAAGAGAAAGGGATGGTTGCAAAGTTTACGAAGCTGCATGATAGTATTCATGAGAGCCTTTGTGTTTCTCTTCTGTCCTTTCTTATCTTCAGCACACAGCATAACACCTTTGGTCTGCATGGACCGGTACAACACATGCTGCAGTCCTGACATTTCACATTTGATGACATATTCAACCTGCAAATACATAAAAGACAAAGTCAAAGGAAAATTCCAATATGGTTCACTAAGTATAAATTGTTGGAGAGTGAGCAACTTAATATTTTGTGAAGTTATTCAGTGAAAGCACTTAGCTGGACTTGAGTCCTGGAGGTGGGAAGTACAGTGCCTGCACTTTAAAGGAGGAGTTTGGGATATTTGCTATTTAGAAGGACATCTAAACTGTCATATCTGCACATCTCTGGCAAGACAGTCATAGTGTGAGTGATGGTGAAAGCATTTCTTTTCCAGGTCACCTGCCTCAGTGGGAGACAAACACCATATTAAAGAAAAAAATTGTTTATCGCCATGGTAGTCAGAGTGTATACAGATGAGATGAAATTAGCAGTGTTTTAATAACTTCTGCATTATCACAGATAATGTTTTTTTTTATTATCACACTTGCTGATTCCCACCAAGGCAGGGTGGTCCAGCAAGGCAGGGTGGTCCAGCAAGGCAGGGTGGTCCACCAAGGCAGGGTGGTCCACCAAGGCAGGGTGGCCCACCAAGGCAGGGTGGTCCACCAAGGCAGGGTGGTCCACCAAGGCAGGGTGGTCCACCAAGGCAGGGTGGTCCACCAAGGCAGGGTGGTCCACCAAGGCAGGGTGGCCCACCAAGGCAAAGTGGCCCACCAAGGCAGGGTGGTCCAGCAAGGCAGGGTGGTCCACCAAGGCAGGGTGGTCCAGCAAGGCAGGGTGGTCCACCAAGGCAGGGTGGTCCACCAAGGCAGGGTGGTCCAGCAAGGCAGGGTGGTCCAGCAAGGCAGGTTGGTCCACCAAGGCAGGGTGGCCCACCAAGGCAGGGTGGCCCACAAAGGCAGGGTGCACAGTGTGCACTGTGTGCACACTGCCGGGCAAGCACTGTGTGCACACTGCCGGGCAAGCATTGTGTGCACACTGCTGGGCAAGCACTGTGTGCACACTGCCGGGCAAGCACTGTGTGCACACTGCCGGGCAAGCACTGTGTGCACACTGCCGGGCAAGCATTGTGTGCACACTGCTGGGCAAGCACTGTGTGCACACTGCCGGGCAAGCACTGTGTGCACACTGCCGGGCAAGCACTGTGTACACACTGCCGGGCAAGCACTGTGTGCACACTGCCGGGCAAGCACTGTGTGCACACTGCCGGACTTGCACTGTGTGCACACTGCTGGACTTACACTGTGTGCACACTGCTGGACTTACACTGTGTGCACACTGCTGGACTTACACTGTGTGCACACTGCTTCACTTACACTGTGTGCACACTGCTGGACTTACATTGTGTGCACACTGCTGGACTTACACTGTGTGCACACTGCTGGACTTACACTGTGTGCACACTGCTTCACTTACATTGTGTCAGACACAGTACCAGTACCTGTGTACTAGTGTTTCAGACACAGTACCAGTACCTGTGTACTAGTGTTTCAGACGCAGTACCAGTACCTGTGTACTAGTGTTTCAGACACAGTACCAGTACCTGTGTACTAGTGTTTCAGACGCAGTACCAGTACCTGTGTACTAGTGTTTCAGACACAGTACCAGTACCTGTGTACTAGTGTTTCAGACACAGTACGAGTACCTGTGTACTAGTGTTTCAGACACAGTACCAGTACCTGTGTACATGAACATGCAGCCATCATCTCTGCAGCAGCTGCATGGTGCTATCATGTCAACATGCAGCCATCATCTCTGCAGCAGCTGCATGGTGCTATCATGTCAACATGAAAGCCATCATCTCTGCAGCAGCTGCATGGTGCTATCATGTCAACATGCAGCCATCATGTCTGCAGCAGCTGCATGGTGCTATCATGTCAACATGCAGCCATCATCTCTGCAGCAGTTGCATGGTGCTATCATGTCAACATGCAGCTATCATGTCTGCAGCAGCTGCATGGTGCTATCATGTCAACATGCTGCCATCATCTCTGCAGCAGCTGCATGGTGCTATCATGTCAACATGCAGCCATCATCTCTGCAGCAGTTGCATGGTGCTATCATGTCAACATGCAGCTATCATCTCTGCAGCAGCTGCATGGTGCTATCATGTCAACATGCAGCTATCAACTCTGCAGCAGTTGCATGGTGCTATCATGTCAACATGCAGCTATCAACTCTGCAGCAGTTGCATGGTGCTATCATGTCAACATGCAGCTATCAACTCTGCAGCAGTTGCATGGTGCTATCATGTCAACATGCTGCCAACAACTCTGCAGCAGTTGCATGGTGCTATCATGTCAACATGCAGCTATCAACTCTGCAGCAGTTGCATGGTGCTATCATGTCAACATGCAGCTATCATCTCTGCAGCAGCTGCATGGTGCTATCATGTCAACATGCAGCTATCATCTCTGCAGCAGTTGCATGGTGCTATCATGTCAACATGCAGCCATCATCTCTGCAGCAGCTGCATGGTGCTATCATGTCAACATGCAGCCATCATCTCTGCAGCAGCTGCATGGTGCTATCATGTCAACATGCAGCCATCATCTCTGCAGCAGCTGCATGGTGCTATCATGTCAACATGCAGCCATCATCTCTGCAGCAGTTGCATGTTGCTATCATGTCAACATGCAGCCATCATCTCTGCAGCAGCTGCATGATGATATCATGTCAACATGCAGCTATCATCTCTGCAGCAGTTGAATGGTGCTATCATGTCAACATGCAGCCATCATCTCTGCAGCAGCTGCATGGTGCTATCATGTCAACATGCAGCCATCATCTCTGCAGCAGCTGCATGATGATATCATGTCAACATGCAGCCATCATCTCTGCAGCAGCTGCATGATGATATCATGTCAACATGCAGCCATCATCTCTGCAGCAGTTGCATGTTGCTATCATGTCAACATGCTGCCATCATCTCTGCAGCAGCTGCATGGTGCTATCATGTCAACATGCAGCTATCAACTCTGCAGCAGCTGCATGGTGCTATCATGTCAACATGCAGCCATCATCTCTGCAGCAGCTGCATGGTGCTATCATGTCAACATGCAGCCATCATCTCTGCAGCAGCTGCATGATGATATCATGTCAACATGCAGCCATCATCTCTGCAGCAGCTGCATGATGATATCATGTCAACATGCAGCCATCATCTCTGCAGCAGTTGCATGTTGCTATCATGTCAACATGCTGCCATCATCTCTGCAGCAGCTGCATGGTGCTATCATGTCAACATGCAGCTATCAACTCTGCAGCAGTTGCATAGTGCTATCATGTCAACATGCAGCTATCAACTCTGCAGCAGTTGCATGGTGCTATCATGTCAACATGCAGCTATCATCTCTGCAGCAGTTGCATGGTGCTATCATGTCAACATGCAGCTATCATCTCTGCAGCAGTTGCATGGTGCTATCATGTCAACATGCAGCTATCATCTCTGCAGCAGTTGCATGGTGCTATCATGTCAACATGCAGCTATCAACTCTGCAGCAGTTGCATGGTGCTATCATGTCAACATGCAGCTATCAACTCTGCAGCAGTTGCATGGTGCTATCATGTCAACATGCAGCTATCAACTCTGCAGCAGTTGCATGGTGCTATCATGTCAACATGCACCAGGATCACTAAGAAAGGTTTCCAGCAATTTGCTGCATCTATGACATGAAACTTCAGGCTGTTCTGGGGGCAAAGAAGGGCCCTATCCACTACTAGAAGGCTGTACCAAATAAAGTGGCCAGTACTAGAAGGCTATACCTAATAGAGTGGCCACTACCAGAATGCTGTACCTAATAAAGTGGTCACTACCAGAAGGCTGTACCTAATACAGTGGCCAGCCACTACTAGAAGGCTGTACCTAAAGTGGCCACAACCAGAAGGCTGTACCTAATACAGTGGCCACTGCCAGAAGGCTGTACCTAATACAGTGGCCACTACTAAAAGGCTGTACCTAAAGTGGCCACAACCAGAAGGCTGTACCTAATACAGTGGCCCCTGCCAGAAGGCTGTACCTAATAAAGTGTCCACTACTAGAGAGCTGTACCTAATACAGTGGCCACTACATGAAGGCTACACCTAATAAAGTGGCCACTAACTACATAAGAATTCACTAGCCCTTTTTTTGAAGACTGAAAGACTTGTGCAACACTTAGGAATCTTTAGTTGAGGAAATGTTTTGGCCGCCAGTGACTTCTTCAGTGAAATACAGAGAAGAACAGTGCAACTTAGGAGTCTGTGGAGACAAAGAACTTTGTCCTTGGAGGCAAAGAAGGGAATGTATGAGAGTATAGTTTTACCAACGCTCTTATATGGGTGTGAAGCATGGGTGATGAATGTTGCAGCGAGGAGAAGGCTGGAGGCAGTGGAGATGTCATGTCTGAGAGCAATGTGTGGTGTGAATATAATGCAGAGAATTCGTAGTTTGGAAGTTAGGAGGAGGTGCGGGATTACCAAAACTGTTGTCCAGAGGGCTGAGGAAGGGTTGTTGAGGTGGTTCGGACATGTAGAGAGAATGGAACGAAACAGAGTGACTTCAAGAGTGTATCAGTCTGTAGTGGAAGGGAGGTGGGGTAGGGGTCGGCCTAGGAAAGGTTGGAGGGAGGGGGTAAAGGAGGTTTTGTGTGCGAGGGGCTTGGACTTCCAGCAGGCATGAGTGAGTGTGTTTGATAGGAGTGAATGGAGACAAATGGTTTTTAATACTTGACATGCTGTTGGAGTGTGAGCAAAGTAACATTTATGAAGGGGTTCAGGGAAACCGGCAGGCCGGACTTGAGTCCTGGAGATGGGAAGTACAGTGCCTGCACTCTGAAGGAGGGGTGTTAATGTTGCAGTTTAAAAACTGTAGTGTAAAGCACCCTTCTGGCAAGACAGTGATGGAGTGAATGATGGTGAAAGTTTTTCTTTTTTGGGCCACCCTGCCTTGGTGGCCACCCTGCCTTGGTGGGCCACCCTGCCTTGGTGGGCCACCCTGCCTTGGTGGCCACCCTGCCTTGGTGGCCACCCTGCCGTGGTGGCCACCCTGCCTTGGTGGACCACCTTGCCTTGGTGGACCACCCTGCCTTGGTGGGCCACCCTGCCTTGGTGGGCCACCCTGCCTTGGTGGGCCACCCTGCCTTGGTGGGCCACCCTGCCTTGGTGGGAATCAGCCAGTGTGATAATAAAAAAAAATAAATAAGAGTGCAAGATGAGGAGTATGAGATGTGTCCCTCAGCGTGGAGTTGATGTGTTCAGTCTGTCAAGACTGATCTACCAGTCTGTCAAGACTGATCTACCAGTCTGTCAAGACTGATCTACTAAACACATCGACTCCAGGCTGAGGGACCAATTACCTCAAACTCTTCGTCATCTTTCACTGTTCTTCTCTGTATTGGACTAAAGCCGCCACTGGCTGGCAAAACATTTCCACAATAAAGATTCAACCAAATTTTGCACAAGTGTCTCGGTCTTCAACTTATCGATTTTCAATATCATTTTTGTCACTTTAAATGAAACGACATCTTAAGAAGATATAATAATCTTAAGAAGATATAATAATCTTAAGAAGATATAATAATCTTAAGATATAATAATCTTCAAAAATTCTGACCTTATCTGGTATTTGTGCCTCCACTTCTCTCTTGAGACGCCGCAGTAAGAAAGGTCGCAGAACTTTGTGCAGACGTCGAATGATCAAGATAGTTTCCTCTTCATTTAATTCAACCTAAAAATATACAATACAATGTATAAGTTATGTATAACAGGAAGACTCTTGTGCTGTATACAGCCAGGTGAAGTCTCTTGTGCTGTATACAGCCAGGTGTCCAGTAGTGAAAATTTCAATTTAGTGCAAATTTTAATTTAGTGCAAATTTCAATTTAGTGCAAATTTCAATTTAGTGCAAATTTTAATTTAGTGCAAATTTCAATTTAGTGCAAATTTCAATTTAGTGCAAATTTCAATTAAGTGTGAAATTAATTAATGCTAATTTTTTCCCACAAACTCTTCAAGTTGTGAGTAAATAATCACATGTAATTTGAATAATGCGAACACTTCACAGGATTTATTTGTTTTTTAATGCAACGGCCATCTCCCACCGAGGCAGGGTGACCTAAATAGAAAAACCAAAGTTTTTCTTTTTACATTTAGCAACATATACAGGAGAAGGTGTCACTGTCACCTTGCTCCTGGCGTTTTAGTCTTCTTTTACGACACGCATGACTTACGGAGGAAGAATTCTGTTCTACTTCCCCATGGAGAACAGAATTCATCAATCACACTAATCAAGGCCCGACTGCACACCCAAAATGGTATGAGAATCCTAACATACATAACTTATGTAAAGCTCACAATAAATACACAGGTTCTAATTATGGATTACTGTACCTTCAGCTCTTCCAAAAACATTTCTTAGTTACTCTGAAATCTTTTCTTTTTCATAGGTACACTATTCTCTTTATGCATTGGTACACTATTCTCTTTATGCATTGGTACACTATTCTCTTTATGCATTGGTACACTATTCTCTTTATGCATTGGTACACTATTCTCTTTATGCATTGGTACACTATTCTCTTTATGCATTGGTACACTATTCTCTTTATGCATTGGTACAATATTCTCTTTATGCATTGGTACAATATTCTCTTTATGCATTGGTACAATATTCATTTTATACATTGGTACAATATTCTTTTTATGCACTGGTACACTATTTTTTTATGGATTCTTTCGTCTACTTTACCTGCTATATTTTTCTTTAAGCATAAAGTGGGTCTGGCTGAAAGCGTGGCATCCCTGTACTGCTACCGACTCTAAACTTATATAATGTATTGTATATATTTGTCTTCCTACGAAGACATACCTGAAAAATAGTGAAAAGTTATTTTTATAGTATGTTGAAGATGGCCGTTTTAAGTCTAACAGTCCCTGGCGACTGACTGAGGACTAGCCCATAGTAGTCCCCAGTGACTGACTGAGGACTAGCCCTTAGTAGTCCCCAGCGACTGACTGAGGACTAGCCCTTAGTAGTCCCCAGCGACTGACTGAGGACTAGAACTTAGTAGTCTCCAGTGACTGACTGAGGACTAGCATTTAGTAGTCCCCAGTGACTGAGGACTAGCACTTAGTAGTCCCCAGCGACTGACTGAGGACTAGCCCTTAGTAGTCCCCAGCGACTGACTGAGGACTAGAACTTAGTAGTCTCCAGTGACTGACTGAGGACTAGCACTTAGTAGTCCCCAGTGACTGAGGACTAGCACTTAGTAGTCCCCAGCGACTGAGGACTAGCCATTAGTAGTCCCCAGCGACTGACTGAGGACTAGCCCTTAGTAGTCCCCAGCGACTGACTGAGGACTAGAACTTAGTAGTCTCCAGTGACTGACTGAGAACTAGCACTTAGTAGTCCCCAGTGACTGAGGACTAGCACTTAGTAGTCCCCAGCGACTGACTGAGGACTAGCCCTTAGTAGTCCCCAGCGACTGACTGAGGACTAGCCCTTAGTAGTCCCCAGCGACTAACTGAGGACTAGCCCTTAGTAGTCCCCAGCGACTGACTGAGGACTAGCCCTTAGTAGTCCTCAGCGACTGACTGAGGACTAGCCCTTAGTAGTCTCCAGTGACTGACTGAGGACTAGCACTTAGTAGTCCCCAGTGACTGAGGACTAGCACTTAGTAGTCCCCAGCGACTGACTCAGGACTAGCCCTTAGTAGTCCCCAGGGACTGACTGAGGATTAGCCCTTAGTAGTCCCCAGCGACTGACTGAGGACTAGCACTTAGTAGTCTCCAGTGACTGACTGAGGACTAGCACTTAGTAGTCCCCAGTGACTGACTGAGACTAGCCCTTAGTAGTCCCCAGTGACTGACTGAGACTAGCACTTAGTAGTCCCCAGTGACTGACTGAGGACTAGCCCTTAGTAGTCCCCAGTGACTGAGGACTAGCACTTAGTAGTCCCCAGTGACTGACTGAGACTAGCCCTTAGTAGTCCCCAGTGACTGACTGAGACTAGCACTTAGTAGTCCCCAGTGACTGACTGAGGACTAGCCCTTAGTAGTCTCCAGTGACTTACTGAGGACTAGCCCTTAGTAGTCCCTGGCGACTGACTGAGGACTAGCACTTAGTAGTCCCCAGTGACTTACTGAGGACTAGCACTTAGTAGTCCCCAGTGACTTACTGAGGACTAGCCCTTAGTAGTCCCCAGTGACTTACTGAGGACTAGCACTTAGTAGTCCCCAGTGACTGAGGACTAGCACTTAGTAGTCTCCAGTGACTGACTGAGGACTAGCCCTTAGTAGTCCCCAGTGACTGAGGACTAGCCCTTAGTAGTCTCCAGTGACTTACTGAGGACTAGCCCTTAGTAGTCCCTGGCGACTGACTGAGGACTAGCACTTAGTAGTCCCCAGTGACTGACTGAGGACTAGCCCTTAGTAGTCCCTGGTGACTTACTGAGGACTAGCACTTAGTAGTCCCCAGTGACTTACTGAGGACTAGCCCTTAGTAGTCCCCAGTGACTGAGTGAGGACTAGCACTTAGTAGTCCCCAGTGACTTACTGAGGACTAGCCCTTAGTAGTCCCCAGCGACTGACTGAGGACTAGCACTTAGTAGTCCCCAGTGACTTACTGAGGACTAGCACTTAGTAGTCCCCAGTGACTTACTGAGGACTAGCCCTTAGTAGTCTCCAGTGACTTACTGAGGACTAGCCCTTAGTAGTCCCCAGTGACTTACTGAGGACTAGCCCTTAGTAGTCCCCAGTGACTTACTGAGGACTAGCCCTTAGTAGTCTCCAGTGACTGACTGAGGACTAGCCCTTAGAAGTCTCCAGTGACTGACTGAGGACTAGCCCTTAGTAGTCTCCAGTGACTGACTGAGGACTAGCCCTTAGTAGTCCCCAGCAACTTACTGAGGACTAGCCCTTAGTAGTCCCCAGTGACTTACTGAGGACTAGCCCTTAGTAGTCCCCAGTGACTTACTGAGGACTAGCCCTTAGTAGTCCCTGGTTACTGACTGAGGACTAGCCCTTAGTAGTCCCTGGTGACTGACTGAGGACTAGCACTTAGTAGTCCCCAGCGACTGACTGAGGACTAGCCCTTAGTAGTCTCCAGTGACTTACTGAGGACTAGCCCTTAGTAGTCCCCAGTGACTTACTGAGGACTAGCACTTAGTAGTCCCTGGTGACTGACTGAGGACTAGCACTTAGTAGTCCCTGGTGACTGACTGAGGACTAGCACTTAGTAGTCCCCAGTGACTTACTGAGGACTAGCCCTTAGTAGTCCCCAGTGACTGACTGAGGACTAGCACTTAGTAGTCCCCAGTGACTTACTGAGGACTAGCACTTAGTAATCCCCAGTGACTTACTTAGTAGTTGCAGGTGACTGACTGAGGACTAGAACCTAGTAGTCCCCAGTGACAGGACTAGCACTTAGTAGTCCCAAGCAACTGACCGAGAACTAGCACCTAGTAGTCCCCGGTAATTGACTGAGAACTAGCACTTAATAGTCCCTGGTGACCGAGGACTAGCACCTAGTAGTCCCTGGTGACTGACTGAGAACTAACACTTAGTAGTCCCCAGTGACTGAGAACTAGCACTTAAGTAGTCCTCAGTGACTGACTGAGGACTAACTAGCACTACAATAATTGATATGTTGTATGAACTGTGCAAGTTAACATTTATGAAGGAATTCAGTTAAACCAGTAAGCTGGACTTGAGTCCTGGAGGTGGGACTTGCAGAGTAATTTTAACTGTGATGTCTCCACAACTTTGGTAAGAAAGACAAAGACCAAGTGATGGAGCGAGTGATGATGAAACTGTTCCTTCTTTTTTGGGTCACCCTGTCTCAGTGGGAATCAGCCAATGTGTTAATAAAAAAAAAATAAGAATGAATTTCCTTTTTGGGATCATCCTGCCATGGAATCAAATAGCCAATGTTTTATTTATATATATATTTATATATATATATATATATATATATATATATATATATATATATATATATATCTTTCTTTCAACACACCGGCCGTATCCCACCGAGGCGGGGTGGCCCAAAAGGAAAAACGAAAGTTTCTCCTTTTACATTTAGTAATATATACAGGAGAAGAGGTTACTAGCCCCTTGCTCCCGGCATTTTAGTTGCCTCTTACAACACGCATGGCTTACGGAGGAAGAATTCTGTTCCACTTCCCCATGGAGATAAGAGGAAATAAACAAGAATAAGAACTAGAAAGAAAATAGAAGAAAACCCAGAGGGGTGTGTATATATGTGCTTGTACATGTATGTGTAGTGTGACCTAAGTGTAAGTAGAAGTAGCAAGACGTACCTGAAATCTTGCATGTTCATGAGACAGAAAAAAGGACACCAGCAATCCTACCATCATGTAAAACAATTACAGGCTTTCGTTTTACACTCACTTGGCAGGACGGTAGTACCTCCCTGGGCGGTTGCTGTCTGCCAACCTACTACCTATTATATATATATATATATATATATATATATATATATATATATATAAAATCACTAAACTTTATTTCTTCACTATTTAAAACAGTTTTCTATCATAAGCCTTTCAGTGTGACACTCAAGGATACAGAGGTAACTGCTCAGCACCACAGCAAACATCCTGTGTGTCTGCACTAACAACACATACACAGCACCACAGCAAATATCTCACAGCAATACCTGGTGTTTCCTGTGTGCCTGCACTAACAACACACATACACAGCACAACAGCAAATATCTTACAGCAATACCTGGTGTTTCCTGTGTGCCTGCACTAACAACACACATATTGGCCAGTGTTCCTCTGTTCAGCAGCAGCAGCAAGTATTACTGAATTGTTTACCTAGTCAGAAAGTGGCAATTATGTCACTACTCTGACCACCTACTGATGGGATGGTCTGGACTGCTGGCATGTTTGTGACCACCTACTGAGAGGATGGGATGGGCTGTTGGCACCTTTGTGACCACCTAGTGAGGAGATGGTCTGGACTGTTGGCACCTTTGTGACCACTTAGTGAGGAGATGGTCTGGACTGTTGGCACCTTTGTGACCACTTAGTGAGGAGATGGTCTGGACTGTTGGCACCTTTGTGACCACTTAGTGAGGAGATGGTCTGGACTGTTGGCACCTTTGTGACCACTTAGTGAGGAGATGGTCTGGACTGTTGGCACCTTTGTGACCACCTAGTGAGGAGATGGTCTGGACTGTTGGCACCTTTTAGTTTACAAGGCAGTGCTCAGTTGTTGACAATGACCCATAAATACAATAAATGACTGTTCGGACTTGCTTTTAGAAATTCATAAAAAACTATGAAAGTTATGGGAAAAGTCATAGGAGTAGAAAGATCTTAGAAAAGCTCAATCTATAGCATAATAGAAGCACATTTAAATCCCTCTTATTATTTTGATGAGTGAATGCTACAGGGTTAATAAATCTTCTTTCTTTCAACAAACTGGGCGTATCCCACCGAGGCAGGGTGGCCACCGAGGCAGGGTGGCCACCGAGGCAGGGTGGCCACCGAGGCAGGGTGGCCACCGAGGCAGGGTGGGCCAAAAAGAAAAACCAGAAGTTTCTCGTTTTAACTTTAGCAATGTATACAGGAGAAAGGGTTACTAGCCCCTTGTTCCTGGCATTTTAGTCGCCTCTTACGACACGCATGGCTTACAGAAGAACTTTGTTCCACTTCCCCATGGAGATAAGAGTAAATAAACAAGAATATGAGCTAGAAAGAAAATAGAAGAAAACCCAGACGGGTGTGTGTGTATATATATACTTGTACATGTATGTATAGCATGACCTAAGTGTAAGTAGAAGTAGCAAGACGTACCTGAAATCTTGCATGTTTATGAGACAGAAAAAAAGACACCAGCAATCATACCATCACGTAAAACAGTAGTACCTCCCTGGGTGGTTACTGTCTACCAACCTACTACCTAGGAGGTTAATGCGTACTGTATTTCGTGGCTTATAAGACTTGTTTTAGTTTTAATGGCACGGCATCAGACATTACTGGGAGAGCTACAGCTCACCCAACACCCCAAACTTATAGCTCCTATCACTGACCTTCAGTTTATAGGACACAGAGTGGTTTTTGGAGACATTTTATGGAAAAAAATATGCATCTAATATGCCACGAAATACAGTAAATACGTTGGGTAAAAGGACACAGATGCAACTAATGTGATAGTTTTTTGCTGCAATGTTTCACTCTCCAGGAGCATTGTTAAGCCATTACAAAGCTCCTGGAGAACGAAACGTTGCCACAATAAATTGTCACATTAATTACACCTTTTGCCTAACATTTTGTGGATAATTCTACCATTATTAATAATCTTTCTTTCTTCTTTCAACACACCGGCCGTATCCCACCGAGGCGGGGTGGCCCACCGAGGCGGGGTGGCCCAAAAGGAAAAACGAAAGTTTCTATTTTACATTTAGTAATATATACAGGAGAAGAGGTTACTAGCCCCTTGCTCCCGGCATTTTAGTTGCCTCTTACAACACACATGGCTTACGCAGGAAGAATTCTGTTCCACTTCCCCATGGAGATAAGAGGAAATAAACAAGAACAAGAACTAAAAAGAAAATAGAAGAAAACCCAGAGGAATGTGTATATATATGCTTGTACATGTATGTGTAGTGTGACCTAAGTGTAAGTAGAAGTAGCAAGACGTACCTGAAATCTTTATTAATAGTAAATATGCCAATTTACAGAAGCATAACTCCTGCATTAATTACTGTTCCAGTGAAGGATAACAATCTCATCTTGCTTTCTAGGGCAATTTTATTATGAAAGTCTTTTTTACCTTTTCACCTGTAGTTGCAAAGGGAGCATTGAACCATTGGTCAAATGTATTACAAGACTTGAAGATTGATGGTAGAAGAAAGTTAAGGAGAGCCCAGAGCTCCGGTAACTTATTCTGCAGAGGTGTACCAGTCAGCAGCAAGCGATGTGGTGCATTGTAGAATGTGTTTAGCGTCTGTAAAAATATGAATTATTGATGAAAAAATCCAGAGAGAAAAATGCAATTTCACAGAAAAACATGATCTAGAATACTGCATACTTATATGCTGAGATACATAAAAATACCACAGTGAATATAGGAAAAACATCCAAGTGCTTTCATGTTTTGACACACACACACATATCTGAAGACGTGAGTGTAAGTGCATGACAGCACTCAGGTGCTTTTCTTATTTTCACTAAGGTATTTTTATATATTTTCACTCATGTGATTAATGTGACTTCTTCCATGTTGATATATATAATAGACAATTTAAGTATGTTGTGTTGTGAGGGGTCACACACTGGCTCCACCTAGCCTGACAAAATTGACTTACATCTAGTATGACATTGGTTTAACATTCATATACCTTCACCTCATGTATTGGATTCCTCCTCAGCATCACCTGGCTGGATCCACCTTGTTGTTGATGTCTTCACAACTTACAGCATCTTCACAGATCTCTCTGGGATTCTCCGCTACACAGACAGTTGCTTGGTTTATTACACTGGATTTGTGCCAACCCATCGTGTCTACCTCAGCTATTGTTGAGGTTATGTCATGGTGGGTCATGTTGCTGCATTCTCTGCCTTCATGTAGGCACAGGACTGAAGGACCAACATTATGGCTCCTGCTCACCCTTGTGGTTATTTTATTTTCCAACATAAACAGCTTCTGTTCTGTTTTTATGTATTCATTGATATATGTTATGAATAAGTTATAAAATAACTTAGCAGGAGCCATAATGTTGGTCCTTCAATCCTGTGCCTACATGAAGGCAGAGAATGCAGCAACATGACCCACCATGACATAACCTCAACAACAGTTGAGGTAGACATGATGGGTTGGCACAAATCCAGTGCAATAAGCCAAGCAACTGTGTAGCAGAGAATCCCTGAGAGATCTGTGAAGATGCTGTAAGTTGTGAAGACATCAACAACAAGGAGGATCCAGCCAGGTGATGCTGAGGAGGAATCCAATACATGAGGTGAAGGTATATGAATGTTAAACCAATGCCATACTAGATATAAGACAATTTTGTCAGGCTAGGTAGAGCCAGTGTGTGACTGCCACTATGGTAGAGGCTGTTGCTGGAGGGACAAATTAGGGCTGTAGAGGTCCAGGGACTTGTAGAGGAGATAGGTAGTAGGTGGTACAAGTACGACGCAGTTTAAGCAAGTCTCCTGCATGACACAGCAAAGTCTCCTGCATGACACAGCACCAGACATTACATTACGTACTGTGCTTTATCAATAATAAATTATAGCAAAAGCTGTCAACCCAAATGTGCACGACTAGTGATGTTATATATGTGACTATAATGGCTGTCAGTTGCTCTTATAAGCCCAACAAGAAGACTGTAACAACACACTGGACACACACACATGACTAGTCTTGCTACACAAGTGACTGTAACAACACACTGGACACACACACACATGACTAGTCTTGTTACACAAGTGACAGTAACAACACACTGGACACACACACACATGACTAGTCTTGCTACACAAGTGACAGTAACAACACACTGGACACATACACACATGACTAGTCTTGCTACACAAGTGACTGTAACAACACACTGGACACACACACATGACTAGTCTTGCTACACAAGTGACAGTAACAACACACTGGACACACACACACACACATGACTAGTCTTGCTACACAAGAAGACTGTAACAACACACTGGACACACACACACACATGACTAGTCTTGCTACACAAGTGACAGTAACAACACACTGGACACACACACACATGACTAGTCTTGCTACACAAGTGACAGTAACAACACACTGGACACACACACACACATGACTAGTCTTGCTACACAAGTGACTGTAACAACACACTGGACACACACACATGACTAGTCTTGCTACACAAGTGACTGTAACAACACACTGGACACACACACACACATGACTAGTCTTGCTACACAAGTGACTGTAACAACACACTGGACACACACACACATGACTAGTCTTGCTACACAAGTGACTGTAACAACACACTGGACACACACACACATGACTAGTCTTGCTACACAAGAAGACTGTAACAACACACTGGACACACACACACACACATGACTAGTCTTGCTACACAAGTGACAGTAACAACACACTGGACACACACACACACATGACTAGTCTTGCTACACAAGAAGACTGTAACAACACACTGGACACACACACACACATGACTAGTCTTGCTACACAAGTGACTGTAACAACACACTGGACACACACACACATGACTAGTCTTGCTACACAAGTGACAGTAACAACACACTGGACACACACACACACATGACTAGTCTTGCTACACAAGTGACTGTAACAACACACTGGACACACACACATATGACTAGTCTTGCTACACAAGTGACAGTAACAACACACTGGACACACACACACATGACTAGTCTTGCTACACAAGTGACAGTAACAACACACTGGACACACATACACACATGACTAGTCTTGCTACACAAGAAGACTGTAACAACACACTGGACACACACACACACATGACTAGTCTTGCTACACAAGAAGACTGTAACAACACACTGGACACACACACACACATGCCTAGTCTTGCTACACAAGTGACAGTAACAACACACTGGACACACACACACACATGACTAGTCTTGCTACACAAGTGACAGTAACAACACACTGGACACACACACATGACTAGTCTTGCTACACAAGTGACAGTAACAACACACTGGACACACACACACATGACTAGTCTTGCTACACAAGTGACAGTAACAACACACTGGACACACACACACATGACTAGTCTTGCTACACAAGTGACAGTAACAACACACTGGACACACACACATATGACTAGTCTTGCTACACAAGTGACAGTAACAACACACTGGACACACACACACATGACTAGTCTTGCTACACAAGAAGACTGTAACAACACACTGGACACACACACACATGACTAGTCTTGCTACACAAGTGACAGTAACAACACACCAGACACACACACACACATGACTAGTCTTGCTACACAAGTGACAGTAACAACACACTGGACACACACACACACATGACTAGTCTTGCTACACAAGTGACTGTAACAACACACTGGACACACATACATGACTAGTCTTGCTACACAAGTGACAGTAACAACACACTGGACACACACACACACATGACTAGTCTTGCTACACAAGTGACAGTAACAACACACTGGACACACACACACATGACTAGTCTTGCTACACAAGTGACTGTAACGACACACTGGACACACATACATGACTAGTCTTGCTACACAAGTGACAGTAACAACACACTGGACACACACACACACATGACTAGTCTTGCTACACAAGTGACAGTAACAACACACTGGACACACACACACATGACTAGTCTTGCTACACAAGTGACAGTAACAACACACTGGACACACACACACATGACTAGTCTTGCTACACAAGAAGACTGTAACAACACACTGGACACACATACATGACTAGTCTTGCTACACAAGTGACAGTAACAACACACTGGACACACACACACACATGACTAGTCTTGCTACACAAGTGACAGTAACAACACACTGGACACACACACACATGACTAGTCTTGCTACACAAGTGACAGTAACAACACACTGGACACACACACACATGACTAGTCTTGCTACACAAGAAGACTGTAACAACACACTGGACACACACACACACATGACTATACACAAATAACCCGCACATAAAAGACAGAAGCTTACGACGACGTTTCGGTCCGACTTGGACCATTGACAAAGTCACACTGTGTGACTTTGTCAATGGTCCAAGTCGGACCGAAACGTCGTCGTAAGCTTCTGTCTTTTATGTGCGGGTTATTTGTGTATCGTTCCAGTCACGGTATTGTGCCTTTTTGTTATTTATACACACATGACTAGTCTTGCTACACAAGTGACAGTAACAACACACTGGACACACACACACATGACTAGTCTTGCTGCACAAGAAGACTGTAACAACACACTGGACACACACACACATGACTAGTCTTGCTACACAAGTGACAGTAACAACACACTGGACACACACACACACATGACTAGTCTTGCTACACAAGTGACAGTAACAACACACTGGACACACACACACATGACTAGTCTTGCTACACAAGTGACAGTAACAACACACCGGACACATACACACACATGACTAGTCTTGCTACACAAGTGACAGTAACAACACACCGGACACATACGCACACATGACTAGTCTTGCTACACAAGTGACAGTAACAACACACCGGACACACACACACACATGACTAGTCTTGCTACACAAGTGACAGTAACAACACACTGGACACACACACACATGACTAGTCTTGCTACACAAGTGACAGTAACAACACACTGGACACACACACACATGACTAGTCTTGCTACACAAGTGATAGTAACAACATAAGTATTAACATTTCTATCCTTCACTAATCTTCATAAAACAAATATGACCTTATGACAAACATTAAATTATCATAAACAAAATACTAATGAGCAGTACAAAATATATGCAAGATAAAAAAAAAATTAAAATTCAACTTGAACAAGATCTGGGTACAGGTGCTGCATGACTTACAATGGTTCACCGTTACAATGGTTCAAAGTTACAATGGCTCAATGTTACAATGGTTCAGTTCATTACAATGGTTTGTTACAATGTGGTTCAACATTACAATGGTTCACCATTACAATGGTTCACCGTTACAATGGTTCAACATTACAATGGTTCACCGTTACAATGGTTCACCGTTACAATGGTTCACCGTTACAATGGTTCAACTTGATGATGGTGCAGCATCAATTACTTAGGAGATGAAACTGAAGATAATTACCCAGCATGAAGGTTCTAAGTCCATAACTTGTGTTTATTTATTATTTACTTTTAATACAGTGG